ATGTCTTGTATATGTGTGAATTTTAAACTTGATTGGCCCTGGCATGTTAAATATATTGATCAGAAACTGCCCCAGTTGGCCATTTTGAATCCAATTCGAAAAAAGAAACGGAGTGCTTCAAGATCCCAAAGTTTGAACAGAATCTGTCCATGGATGACCGAGATTGGGTTCCGAAATCGTAAAAATGTGTGATTTTGAGAAAATTGTTGGTGATAAAATGGCTGCTAAATGGTCATCTTGAACCAGCTCATGAAACAAATGCATGTGCATATGTACAATTTGAAGTATGATGTATGTGTTAAGTTTGAACTTGTTTGGTGCAAGCATGTGCGAGATAGGGCTGGATATGTACAGGTTGATGAATACATGCCCTAAGCCAACCAAACAAGTCCCAGTTTGGACAAAGTCTGAAAACAAATTGCCAAAAGTTTCATCAACTTCATATTTAACTCTGGCTACTTGTTTTTTGATAATGTGGACTCATTCCAACTAGTCATCGGGGGTATTAAACAAAAGAATTGGCTACTTGCATATTTAAATGAGTCATCATATAACCAAACACATCAGCATTTGCATGTGGCAATGTTCCTAATAATCTCTTCAATTCAGTCAGCTTTGTATCATCTTGTCTACCTATATGTACAAATTACAAGTATATTTTAATATGATGCTTTAAACATCTTCAACAATAATTTTACGTTATGAATATAAAAACATACAAACATACCAATAGTGTAGTGTTCATTTCTTAACCCACAAGCCACAATTCACAACATAATTATATAAAACCCACATTTTTTTTTATATTTTCACCAAAATTTATAGTTTATAGGAAATTATGTGCATTTCGTCCAAAATTAGAAAAAAAAATGATAGAAAATAAATAAAAACAGGCAAACTGTAGGAAATATTAGGACGCTTAAAGTAACAAAAAAAAGGCTATAAACTTAAATTACTAATTGATGTGGCTTTGAAGAAATCTGCACTAGAAGTCTGCAGGTGCTTATCTGACCTGGGCCTTATTTATTGACAGCATATATTATTAGAAAAAAAATTTGCCTTTCCCATATTTAAGACAATCAACTATTATAGGACATACCAACTGCTTCAAGAAAATCTCTTTGCATACTGACAGGAATGACAGGTTCAGGTAGCTCACTAAAAAAAAACTTGAGGGCTGTTGCTACAGCATTTACACCAACATTCAGTTCAGCAATATTGACTGTGTTGTCTGCAACAAAATGAAACAAAGTTACGAGACTTGTAGTATTTCTTTGGCACAGTCTTTATATATTATCACATTTGAACACACATTTCACCACGATTCTAACTGGCTTCTTATAACTTCTATGATCGCCCAAGAAAATTTAATATGTGTCAAAGCCAGAGATTGGGCAAATTAGTTTTTATAAAGAATCACTCTATACACAACAAATTTAACATGATTGAGTCAGTTCCTCCCCAAGTGTGGTCCATTAAAATGTGGGATCAAAATATGTGATGTGAGCAACAATGAGAAGACCATGATGCGGTAATAGAGCAATGCAAACAAAATAATTGGACAAATTGATGAAGAGGTTAAGCAAAAGATAAACTCTAAGTAAGCCTCAGCAGCTTAGAATGTACGGTAATAGTAGAATGAACATTTTTTTAATTTCAATATTGAAGTGAAAAATTTATTGTTTGATGTGTATATACCTTCATCAAATTTCTGAAGAATAAGGTCACTATCAATTGCTTTACCAGGAACTCTGTATAAGCCTTCTGCAGTGAGTCCTGGCAATGGAAACAAAATGCTTTTAAAACATTAAATAAACATGCATCATGTTAACGTTAACTATGCTTGCATGCTGAGATACAAACAAGATAAAAAACAGAACTATTTTTGTAAATATTCACATATATATTGGTGTATTATATAACTCACTAAAATCACGGTGAACAGACACAAATATCTCTCATTTACTGCTCTCATTTGAATACTATTGACTTAACACAATTTTAACACAATCAACCAAACAAATGACCAAGAGAAGTATAAACCAAATTCAAAATAGCATCGAATACATGTATTGATCAATTGATTACAGCGTAATATAAAACAGAACTAAAGTAAGGTTATCACAAGTAAATACTGTACTGCTATTGTCAATGTATGATAAATGGCCTTACCTTGCTCTTCTAAATACTCAACACACTTGACAACAAACAAAGGCACTCTCTCTTCATCCGTCACTATATCCTCTAAACTTTCTCCAAAGTAATTATAAGACACTGATGGAGTGCCACCTCCTTTCCCTGCTTGCACCGACTGCTTTTTCCTCCTTTCATCTCTCTTTCGTTTTTCCTGTGAAAATAACAGTAAAAAGCATATTAATGTCATGTCACAATAAAACACTACATTGAACCATTTGAATCACCACTGTGAATGGCACACCATCATGTCACTGAAAACACTCCTTGAACCATCTGAATCACCACTGAATGGCACGCCACCATGTCACAGTTGACACAACATGAACCATCTGAATTACCACTGTGAATGGCACACCATCATGTCACAGTAAAACACTACATTGAACCATCTGAATCACCACTGTGAATGGCACACCATGTCACTGAAAACACTACATTGAACCATCTGAATCACCACTGTGAATGGCACACCATGTCACAGTAAACACTACATTGAACCATCTGAATCACCACTGCAGTGTTGCTGCCAGGCTGCGTCATCGCGACATTCTCGCAAAATTCACAGCAATGACGCGTTATTTTACAAACCCTGGGCCACAGTTGACGCACTAAAGTAGTGAGGTATGTCGCGCATTTTGCTTATCACTGTGTCATTGCTTTGGTATACTCAGTTCTTTTTGTGACCATGATCAAGATGTGAGCAACGCCGAATCGACCGCCAAGTCGCCTGAAGTTCAAGTTGAACAAGGTGAACCTTCGTCTAAAAAGAAAAAAAAGACTTTTGAACGCAGATATCAGGCTAGCTGGGAACAAAACCCGACATATTCCCATTGGTTACAATATGATCGAGAGAAAAATTCCATGCAGTGCAAGATTTGCCTTCAAACTGGAAAGAGAAACCCTTTCACTGAGAAGGGAGGCTGTGTGAATTTCCGTACAACAACGCTGGACCGGCACATCAGTAGTGGAGACCACGTGAAAGCAGTTCAAGAAATCGCACTACGT